TGTTATTCATCTTCATGGGGTTCTTGGCTATTCTTGGCACTTTACGTTTCCATATAAATTGCAGAAATTATTTGTCAAGATCCAGAAAAAAGAAAAAAAACTCATGGTATTTTGATGGGCATGGAATCAAATCCGTACAACAATTAGGGGAGAATTGACGTCTTTATATTACTGAGCCTTGTAATTCGTTAACATGGTTATCACTCCATTAATTTAGACTTCAATTTCTCTCAGTAATATTTTATAGTTTTCAGCATTGAGGTCTTGCACATCTTTCATTTTATTTATTCCTATTTGATATATTGTGTTACTAAAAAGGTATTCTATTTTGTTGCTGATTTATAGAAAAGCCACTGGTTTTTATATTCATCTTGTATCTAGCACTCTTATTAACATTTTTAACTGTAGATACCTTTGTATTTTCTACACAATAATGTCAACAATTTCAGTTGTTCTTTTACCAACTTTACGCCCTGCCCTTTTTTCCCTTTGCCTTCATAAGCCAGCAAACACTGTAAGAATACAGAGGATGGTAGTGATCATCCTTTCCTTCTTTCTAATCTCATGAAGTTTTAAATATTTCACCATTAATGATGTTTGTATATTGATTGGCTTTTTGTACCTGCTCTGAATCAGATGAAAGAAATTCACTTTTCTTTCTAGTTTGCTAAGAGGCTCCTCTCTCCCCACCAATGGATACTGAATTCATTAAATAAAATTTAGTAAAACTGGCTTGTAATTTTAATGAGTTCTTTTAGATCATGAATCTTTTTTTTTTCCTGTAAATGGGGTAAATTACATTAACGTTTTTCCTTCTATTTATTTTACTATTAATCCAATCTGGATTACTGCAATAAACCCACCTTGGTTAAGATATATATATATAGATATACATATAGATGTAGATATATATAGAAGGATCTGATTTTATATTTTGTTTAGCATTTTCACATTGATTATCCGTGTTTGAGATTAGCCTAAAATTTTCCTTTCTTCTTATATTGGTATTTTGGGCATTGCAGTATCATTATAAAGATCATGTTAGTATCATAAAATGAATTTGCAAAATGTTTCCCCTTTTTCTCTTCTCTGAAGGAATTTGTCCTAAACTTCACTGCCTGCAAAGAGGCTTATGTACGTGTGATTTTATATTATAGGATCAATTTCTTTAATAGCTGTAAGACATCTGATGTTTTCTATTTCTCCTTGTGTCAGTTTTCAAAGCTTTTTTTCTAGGAATTTATCCGTTTTACCTCCGTTTGCACATTCATTGGCATTAAGATTTTCATAATATTCTTGTATTATGTTTGATGTCTGCAAAATCTAGTCATTCCCTTTTGTGTTCTGACAAGCTTTACCTGTGACTTTTTTCTTGTCCGTCTTGCTTTATTAATCTTTCCAAGGAACACGTTTTGTCCAATCCAAAAAATTCTCTCTTGCCCCTTTGTAACACCCTCCCCCACCTTGGCCTATGGCAACCAACGACCTGTTACCATAGTTGTGCCTTTGTAATTCCATTTACGTGAAATTCTAGGGAAGTATTGATCTTTTCTTTTACCTGCATAATATTTAGAAGATGCAACCATGTTGTTGTATCAGAAGTTCTTCCTTTTTCTTGCTGAGCAGTATTCCATGACAAGGACAGGCCACCATGTTTATCCATTCACCACTTGATGGTCACTGAGCTGTTTTCAGCTTTTTGCTGTTGTGAACAAAGCTGCTATGAGCAGTGGAAAACTGTTTACGTTTATAGCGAACTGCCAAGTGATGCTACCATATCGCATAAAGATCGATTTGGGAAGAATCGAGATCTTAGCGATACTGAGTATTCTGATGCTGTATCTCTGTATCTATTTAGGTCTTCTTTAATTTCTCTCAGTGATGTTTTGTAGTTTTCACTGTATTTTTGTCGGAGCCCTGGTGGCACAGTAGTTAAGAGCTCAGCTGCTAAACCAAAAAGTCAGCAGTTCAAATCCACCCGGTGCTCCTTGGAAACCCTATGGGGCAGTTCTACTCTGTCCTATATGGTCACTATGAGTCAGAATGGACTCAACAGCAATGGGTTTCTTTTTTTTGGATGGCAGTGTAAATGCTATTTTTTAAATTTAAATTTCTACAGTATTTTTTCTTTTTTATTCCCGAGTACTATTCTATTGTATGCATATACCATTGTTTTAATCTATTCACTTGTTGATGGAGTTGCTATGAATATTCATGTATAAGTCCGTGTGGACATGTGTTTTCATTTCTCTTTGGAGTGGAATGCCTGGGTCAGTGTGGTACACGGAGGTTTAACTTTTTCAGAAACTGCCAGTTTTCCCAAATGGTGACATCATTTTACATTCCCATCTGTGGCATATGAGAGTTCCAGATGCTCCAGATTCTCATCCACACGGGGTCCTGTCTTTTAAATTTTAGACATTCCAGTCAGTGAGTAAGCAGCCCTGGTGGCACAGTGATTAAGTGCTCCGCTATCCACCAAAAGGTCACCAGTTCGAACCCACCAGCCCCTCCACGGGAGAAAGATTCGCAGTCTGCTTCCGTAAAGATTACAGCCTTGGAAACCCTATGGGGCAGTTCTACTCTGTCCTGTAGGGTTGCTATGAGTCAGCATCCACTCCACCTCAGTAGGTTGGTCAGTGAGCAGTACTCTCTCATTGTGGTTTTAAATTGTACTTTCCTGATAACCAGATACTGAGCTTCTTTTCATGAGCTTCCTTGCTAGCATTATAGTTCAAAGCCTATCGCCTTGACTGCGGAACACAATCTTCGCAATAGCAGATCAGACCTACAGCTGTTTCAAGCCCTTCACACGTGCTCCACTTTCTAAATCCTCACAGCAGCCCAGTGAGGTACGTACTATGGGTCTCACTTCACACATGAGAAAACTGTGGCTCAGGGAGGCTACCTGACTTTCCCAAGGTCACACAGGGACTGCAGGGCAGTCAGGATTCATGTCTGTGCTTGTAATCACCATGCCTTCTGACCTCCCAAAGAGCAAGCAACAGGACATTGTCTGTTCTCGACTTGGCTAGAACACTGTCTGAGGCTCACATGGCACTGAAGTTCAAGGTCAGTGCAGAAATCCACACACCAAGCTTATACCTGAAGACCAAACCCACTGCCGTCCAGTCGATTCCAACCCATAGCGACCCTACAGGACAGAGAACTGCCCCACCATAGGGTTTCCAAGGCTGAAATCTTTACAGAAGCAGACTGCCACATCTTTCTCCCACGGAGCAGCTGGTGAGTTCGAATCACCGATCTTTTGGTTAGCAGCCGAGTGCTTAACCACTGCACCACCAGAGCTCCTTGATGCATACATGCTCCCAGTGTAACCTGATGTGCCGTTCATTCATTCATTCATCCATTCATCCATACATCCATACCCTTCATCAGGTGGCTATTAAGCACCTGGTGTCACACAGCAAGTAGGTGGTGAAAGGAAAGATGAGCAAACGCAGGCACCATCCCTGACGGGGAGAGCTCACGGTCCAGTGAGGGAGAACCCTAAAATCACCCTGTGGAGGTGGGCGCTGCTGCAGGAGGGGAAGTTACAGAGATGACTGAGCTGGGATGTGAAAGAATCAGTCAACCAGGGGGCGCACAGAGGAAGTCAAGAACACCCCCAGTGCAGGGAGGGGCAAGGCAGGTTAAAGAAGTCAGTGTGGCTGGTCTGAAGAGTGAGCGCAGACTGGTGAGGTAAGGCAGAAGCTCGGAGCAGGAGCAGCCAGGGGAGGGGGGTAAAAATGCGTGTCAATTGTAGGCACGACTCCAACTCATGGCGACCCTATAGGGCTTCCAAGGCTGTAAATCTCTACGGAAGCAGATTGCCACATCTTTCTCCCTCGGAGCCACTGGTGGATTCAAACAGTTGACCTTTCGGTTAGCAGCCGAGTGCTTAACCATTTCACCACCATGGCTCCTTTTTATCTATAAATAGGTGACTAAAAGAAACTGCAGGAGAAGATGTGGCAGTCTGCTTCCGTAGAGATTTACAGCCTTGGAAACCCTATGGAGGCAGTTCTACTCTGTCCTATAGGGTCACTATGAGTTGAAATCAACTTCACAGCAGACAGTTAAACTGTAATGCATTCAATCAATGGAATATTATACAGCTGTCAAAAACAACGAGCTATAAGTATGTACTTACATGGAAAGATATCTAAGATGTTAAAAACAAAAACCAAATTAGATAATACATTCAATGTGATCTCATTTGCAGGAAAATCACACGCACATACACACACAAATACCAGGTATTTTCATTTGTCCCCCCTCCCAAAAAAAGAACAAAAGAATACATTAGACACACAATTGGTTACTTCTGTGGGAGCAGTGAGCACTGGAGGAGGGCGATACACTTCTTGCTTTATATCCTTGTGTACTGTTGGTATTTTTCCCATAAGCAGGTATTTTTATAATTAAAAATTAGCTAGAAAAATATAAATGCCTAAAACCCCCACATAATACAAACAATTCAAATTAGGTGTCTAAGGTACTATACGTTCTATTTACAATACAAACGCACTAAAATGATTTATGAATGCCTACTTATTTTAGCCTAAAATAATTAAGATTCTTAAAGTTTTATATACTGGCTTCATTGACGTTCTTGAAGTAAACTGTACTTTGCCAGGCATTTTTCCAGTTCTGCTTCAGTAAGCACCTCTTGGCTAAAAGACTGTCTGGCATAGAAAAATACTTCTGAACAGACGTTAAGTTCTGAGAAGGAAGGTTACCCCAAAAGGGAAATTTCTGTATAAATCCTGGCTTTGTAATTCCAACTAGATACTTGTTTTCCTTTCCCTGAATACTGTTTTTTAATTCTCTTTTTTGGACTGGCAGGCACCTTCAACCAGGAAATCTTCAACAAAGGATACTAGCCTTGAGGAAATGTTAGGGAAAAGGTAAGTCTTAACACACAAGGACTCAAGCAAATTTTTTTTTTTTTTTTTTGGTGGGGGGAGTGTTATGACAATTCCTATCAAGATCCCACAGATACTGTAAAAATGCTTTCATTTATCCAACCCCACAAAACGGAAACTGAGCATCTTATAACATGAAAGCCCTTGTTCTAAGTGTGGTGAATGAGGTGGAGATCCTACCCAACGGGAGAAACGTTTTTACTTCCGTTTCCCTTCCTCATCTTATCTATCTCCGAATATTCTCAGACTCTAGATTTTAAAGGCAAATGTAGTATTTTCCAATATCAGGAATTCACACCAGAATTTTAAAATCCAAAAAGAAAATATGGAGCTAACACAACATAACAAACATATCACAGAAGATAAAGTGACATTTTGTAATTTAAGAAAAAGAATCAGTTTAATAATTACAACAGTGTAGCATAAACGCTGTAGACAATGCCAGGACACTGTCGGTGATGTTTAAATTAAAAGCTTCTCCAAGGGTGTTGCAAATGGATGCTCTAGCTTCCTGAAGAATCCACGGCATTAAGAAAGTCTATGCAAACACAGGTAGCCGTCCAACGTCCAGGACATCACGACGCATGGGAGACAAGCACGTATGCCGTCAAGGACGCTGAAGAGAACTTCAGAGGCTGCATTTCAACACAGTTTAAAACGGAAAGTGCTTCACATGAAGAGATCAGAAATGGCTTCATCTCCTCATCCGTAAAAGGGGAGAGTGAAGCAGTAACCTTTAGAAGGTTAAAGAGCAGTGCTCCTTTAAAATGTTGACATCCAATTCCCAGCCCCTGGAAGGTCACCCTGTGAAGTGCGTGCAGTCTGTATACCACAGGGCAAGGTTTTAGAAAGAACTGCCTACGATGCATCTTCTCTGCTTCCTAAAAAGCCTAATAAAACATTGGGTTCACAGAAAGAGCAGGTAATGCACTAACACAGGGATCTCAATGGCCATCCCCTATTCAGAGGGGAAGGGACATTAAAAACCTAAGTATTCTTATTAAATACTTCAATCTAGTAATTAAGGCATGTTCTGTAAGAGAGCCATCCCGGGGTACGCTGACAGCTTCAGAGAGGGCAGGTGCCAAGTCTTCCAGCTACACAGCAACATCACCTTTTACAAAGTGATGGAGAGATCAGATGATTAGCTGTTCCTGAGTTAAAATCTGTTTACAACAGCAAACGTCAATGCATCCTGATTTCACTGCAGTGTCTTAAGCGTAACCAAAGAATAAAGTCTACTTGTAAAAAGACAGCTTACAAAAAAAAAAAGAAAAAAAGACCTGATCTTGTCTAGTCTGAGCAGGAATGGATAAAACGCTGCATACAGGAAGTGGGCAATTCTCATGAAAGGGCAGACCGCTGGCTGGTTTCCAAAGCATCTGTAAGGCAGACGGCTGTGCCGCAGAGGGACACCAGGCAGAGTCTCTGAGCCAGAAGATGGGCAAGGAGCGCGCACAGGCCACTGCCCACTACATTTAAAAGTCAGAACCCAAAACTGCAATCAGCAATGAGGCAGGAGAAGAACTGTGAACAACCAAAAAACAAATTATTTTCAAAGCTACCTCAGTTCAAAGGCATCAAAAAAAAAAAAGGGATTCAGGTGCGATTAAGTGCAACTTTACGAACAGATCGCAAATCACAGAAAGTCACATCTCATGCCACGCGGGTGTTCCTGAAGAATCTCTACTGCCAGCGCTGGCTGCAGTTTTGGTTTTTACAGACACAACGGTTGTTCTGTGAGAAAGTTCATCTCCCTTAAAAACCAGCCTCTTCAGAAAGGGGGGTCTGTGTGGGACAGGAACAGAGTCCTGTGATCTCCGTCACTGTTCCCCAAGCAGAATGCAAAGCTGGACTTCGGTGGGCAGTGCCTCCTGTTACCCCGGGGGCTGGTGAGACTTCCCACATTTCTAAGGCCAGACTGGGACTCCCAGGGTGTGGACAGACCATCCTTCCTGCATCCCCTCAGCCATCGGTACCCAGTGGGGAAAACGTTTCCACAGCTAAACCTGCATTACTTACACGGAACCTAAAAACTGCGTATTGCTTCAGTCTCGCTGAAGGAGGGGAATGTTGGTTTTCCCAGTGAGCACTGAAGAGCTGCTTGCTGAGCCCTGATGGTAAAACAGATCTGAGTCTAAACTGGCCCCACAAAGAAACCTTACCCATCAACCTTAGCTCACAGTATCGCCTCCATTCATTTTCACTGGGTGCAGGGATATACAATAAATAATACATTTTATTTACAGGTTCTAGTTAAGATTTCTCTTTTGTGCAGAGGACGGAACAGCGCACTCTGTCAGGTTATGAAACCAGCCTACACATAAGTCTGCGCGCTCTCTCAAAGTGCAGTGCACGGATCTGAGAACGACCGTGCACAGACACCACCCTCCGCCTTCACTTGGACCCAGGGGTGCTGCACGCAGTTTCCTCAAACCAATGTCTGAGTCTCAGACTCTCCACTCACTCAGCCAAAGAATGCCACACTTGGAACCAAAGCATGTCTGTGACGGAAATCCTGTGTCGGGAGCAGACTTTCAGGTGGTATGAAAGTATCTGTGCAGATATAAATAAGGTGAAATTATCTAAGGATACTGAAATGGGAGGTGTTTTTACAGCACTTTGGAGACTATGGTGTGTAGAACAAAAGCATCCAGGTCCTCTCAACGCCTCTACTTTCAGGTGAATGCACGTGAAGACAACTTCTAATTCACGCGACCAGGAAGAGTAGCAGGAAGGAAATTCTAGCACGGGTCTTAGCCCAGATACAGCAACCATAGATATGCATTCAAAACTGAATATTTACAAGAAGTATGTATAGATAATATTTATATATATTCAATTAAAAGTCTGAAAAACAAGGATCAAGGATTTTTAGTCAGTCACTGCAATTATTGCAAAATGAGGTAATTTAGATGTTAATCATAAAATGAACACCGTTCAGGATCCTCAGTCTCTATACCTCATGTTTGGACTCTTCAGTCACGGTTTGATTACTTTTATTCACGTGATAAACTCTGTCTTTTCTTCACACAGAAAGCAAGATGATGTTTGCATCCCATGCGGCCCTGCTCTGCGGGCTCTGCCTCGAACGCTGACCGGTCGGGGGCTCCCCGCGTGGTCTCAAGACAAGAACCAGGACGCTCCTTACAGGTTGGTCTCGTCCCAAGCTGGGTCGTTCATGTTCTTTAAAACTTTCCTCACGAGCTTTTCCAGGTCTTTGCGGGCTCTCTGTTCCTCCTCTAAAGATTTCTTCATCTTTTTGTTATCCTGTAAATGAAGTAGACCACAGTATGTTTAATCGTCTTTGGCAGGGAAGACAACTTTCGCTTCCCAAACGCATGTTGCAGAGGAGAGTTACAGGGTCCACGGAGGGAAATCCTGGTGGGTTCTGCTGCTGTGACATGACGGCAGACAGATCCCGCGACTGCTGGGTTCTGCGAAGCCCAGACCCCAACAGAAACTTTGGTGTTCTTTAGCACCTAGTTTCTACTGGGAGTCAAAGAAGAGGTGGACACACAGCCCTGATGTCTATTACTACTTCAAGCTCACAGACACTGAATGATAAAATCTCTACACAGCATACAAAAATGGCTGAACATTTTCAAAAAAGAATGATGTACATCCAATATCCTCTTCTCACATTTATTTCATATATACAGGGCCACTATGAGTCGGAATCGATTCAACAGCAACGGGTGTGCGTGCGTGCGTGCGTGCGTGTGTGTGTACAGGGTTATATAAAGGAATGGAAGTAACAGTAATAACAACTGAGTGAACAAAGGAATGAGTGAATAAGCACCTGCTTAGCCAAAGTTCATTCCTAGACGAGAAAACTCTGAACAAAGGACAAGAAGGTAAGTGGCCATTCGCTACAAAAACAAAACTTTCTTCTACTTTGCTGAGTAAGACCTGAGGGAGCCATGACTGGACAGCGTTTGCAGACAAGCAGATCTGCTGCACCTGAAGGAAACAAAGCCCAGGTCCTCGCAGCTAAGAGCCCTGCTATGCAATCGGGGAGAACCTGACCAATTCCGTACTATGCTTTCTCATCTCTGCACAGACTTGAAGCAAACTGAGCA